CAATTTCAGTTCTGCTCAAAAATTTTACATAAAAGCCTCTTTCACAATATATTCAGTTTAAGTTAAAAAGTAGCCTTCGAGTTTAATGTACTACAAGAAGAGGGAATTACATGAATGTAGTACTAAATCTTTACAAATGTCAGAGTCCAATCATAGAAGCTCAACACTGAAGTAAAAAAAAAAAAACTAAAGGTCAAAACGTTTTTGCTCTAATTGCTCAGATATCTGCTTTTTTGTTTTATTACTCAATACAATTCCAGTTGTGCCTTGAGATGGGAAAGTTTAAACCAGTAGACAGACTCTTATTATCTTACTTATTAAGATTGATACACTTGTGCCTTACTTTAACATCATGTTCTCTCGCCTTTCTCCTTTAGAGAAAGGCTAAAAGAACTGGATCTCTGCATCGTGCTATATTCAATCACCATAAAAACATGAAGTTAAGAATAACTAATTAAAACTTTTCCAACAGTGAGATAAATTAAAAAAATAAAACCATTAAAAAAACGATAGTATAGCTTATAAGTTAAAGTCCTTTTTTTATTTTAGAGAATTGTTTTAAATGACTGGATGAGACTGAATAAAACCACTCACTTTAAATGTTAGAAAGAAATTGGTTAACCTAAGCATCAAGAATTTAACAACTGTTTTCATACAATTGAAAAATAAAGTAGCATTACTTTAATTTGATGTAGGTTTACATGGTGGTACCAGATTACTAAAATTTATGCAAAGACTTTAATATTTGCCACCTTTGATATGTTCTATGAAGCATATTTTAAATATGAGACATTAAGTTTATCAAGATGCTGATTTAACTTTAATTCCAAAGACCTTGAAGGTTCTGAACAATTCTGGAGAGTCAGAGTAGATTTTTCTAATTAAAGATGGAACATAAAACATTAAGTCCTCTGGTCAAATTTTAATTAGAGACAGTCATTGGTTATACTTTTAAAATGTTAACTTTTAAAACTACCTGTATAAACACCTTTATGTAAAACTAGTGATAAAGTAAGAGTTAAAAGAAAGATAATGATGCATAAAATAGCACTTCAGGTGCAACTTGGACACAAAATGGTTCCCTGTAAGATATCAGCCATTTGTTTGTTCAAGACTGCTGCAGCCCACTGTAGTCTCACATTTAGATATATCATAGCATCATCTGCATGCAAATTTTACTAATCATCTTTAAAACATTCAAGTCATGTATTACTAAGATATGGTGGAAAGCAGCGGTTCTAAAAGGTTTACTTGTTGAACACCCACAGCTTTGAAGGTTGATCTTATGCTCCGTTTCTGATGAGCCTAATCCATCCTAGTATTTCTCAGATGAAAAAAGGAGAGATTCTGAACCTTTTTGTCATTCTGAGAACCCAAAAGGTTGTGGTTCTGAAGTCAGCATCTCCAAACCTCTAAGACAAATTAATTAAAGATTGAAGTGGTTTTATTTGGGATAAAATAATGCAAGAGGTCTAAAAACTTTCAGATATTATGTGGATAAGATGAAATGTTCTTCCGTCTAATCCACCAAAGATAAGATAAATCCAGGAGATCACTGGATCTCCTGCTGACCAGTGAAAGTCCAACTGGTGGTGGAAACGCTCCCCTGAATACGCCAGATTGTAAAATAGTGTACCGAGCCGCACTGACCCTAGAAATGAGGCATCACACTGTTAACTCCACCATGTTGTTTGTTGTTTTTTGATGGAAATAAAGGAATCCCAATGACTGTACAGTTTTTTTTAATCACAGATATTGTCAAATTTATACTGTAATATATATCACATGTAAAACTACTTCAAAGGAAGGTAGGACCTTTTGGACCTGAAACAACACCTAATTTCTTCTCCACATGTATGGGTACAAAATTCTGCACGCACTATACAAAAGGTAAGAGCAGGTTGATGCCGTCTGATCACAGATGACAGGAGAAGGAGATCAGCGGCGCTGGGAGGAGCACAGACAGCGGGCGGAAATGGCTCTCCTGCTGAGCAGACACACAGTGTGACATCTCAAATATGGAAATGGGCGTGTGAAGCTGGGAATAAAAGCTGCCCTTAAGAAACATCCTGCAACCTTGACGTTTTACATTAGCAACATCGAAAAGTAAAGGAGAATGAAGACACGCTGTCAATATGCAGATAGAGAATCAATACTGCACAATATGTTCTCAGAGGTATGTGATGTTTGACAGCAGACCTAATTTAGCATGATGAATGGCTGTTTACCGTGTTTATATCAGTTTGACTTTGAGATTGGAGGCAGGTTGTTGACGTAATTGAGACCGTCTGAAAATTCAAAGAAACCGTCGCAACAAACGCCACGGCGGTCCAAGTAGGCAGACAGAACTCATAATGTCTGGGAAGTCCACATTTTAGAAAACAGCCAAATAAACTGGGTGCAAATTTCCAAGGGCAAACTGACACCAAAAGAAAAAATAAATAAAACAGAACCCGATGACAAGAAAGCACACAATTCTTTCAACTGTTTGTAGATGATTTAGCAAGTGTGTCTGACGCGCAGTGAGCATATATACACAGCAAAGGTAAGGACAAACAGATGACAGCTGTAGGACAATTGACTAACATGGAAAATGTGTTGTTTTAAGCAAACACAGGAAATTACTGTAGCTGAACCGCACAGGAAATATCCCATCTACACAGGAGATGGGAGTACAAAAAATTTTAATTTGAAAAAGAAAACAAAAACAGAATAGAAACTCAAAGCCAGCTGCTGTCATTTTGAAAAGAGGATAACACTACAGCAAGAGGGAAAACTGAACTGACTATGCAGTAATTTTCTTTCCGCTTAGTGGAGATTTCATCAGCTGAAAACTCATTATAGGAAAAAAGCATTAGAATCAAATCAGTGTGCCAGAAAGAAACTTGCTCTCCACAAAGCAAAGTATTTTTTTTTGAGTCAGACTTGTCATTTTCAGACATCTATATTCAAGAACAGACAGAGGCTGTTACTGGTATGATAGCACACCAAAGTGTTGAAGTTAGTTTCAAAATTGTTACAATTTCCATCAAACCATGCCTATAGTTTAAAGTTCTCTAACGAGATTCCATTCACTTGGTTGAAAGAGAGATCCTAGGCTTTTCTCTTGCTTATAAGGAGCATAAATTCACCTGCACAGCCATGCAACTCCATCACTCCTGTAAAGGTAGAGCAGTTCTGAAACTAAAGTTTGCAACCTAGAGGCATGTCTGTAAAGCTGCAGACTTCCAGTTGTCTACCTGAGCAGACAAGCCAACTACTTATCAGATAAACCTGACTAATAAATGAGGATGAGCCTGCTACAACCCAAGTGTTTCTATATAAAGAACCCAAGGACAGCAGGGTGTGACTGTATCCGAGTGTATTCATGGTGTTTATGATTGTCTGCTTTCATCCTCAGACTGCCGGTGTCTCCTGTCTGAAATCTGACAGAACATTTCTAAGACAGCAACAGAGAAGCATTGCTGTGGCTAAAACAAATTGAGGTCTTTATTTTTACAAGTACAGCAATGCTGCCTATGACGTGTATTAATTGTTATTCTAATCTTGATGGGGACAGATACATACAGTAAGTGAATGCAGGTGAATGAGCTGTTTCATGTACTTGAGAAGCAATTCAAATAATAAAATTAATTATCTACGGACATCTAATAGAGGTAAATCTATCTCAGTCACAAGAAATGCATTCAATTTAAGGTGACTAAACAAAAACAGAAGGTCATTTTAAAGGTTTTACTTTTTGTAACAGATGTTCACTGTAAAATCTGAAGTGCTGCTTTAGCATACCAATAGCAAGTGGACGAATTCTGCAAACCAGAGAGCAAAGAAACAGTGGGAACCATAAAGAGACAAAAATTATATTTTTATATGAAATAGAAGAATAAGAATATTTACATGGTAGACCAATTCTACAGGAGAGGTAACCATAAATGACTGCTGTTATCTGATGCAATGAAGAAAAATAGAAAAAAGCAGGAATAGATGTTGATTTTCTATTGTAAATAAAAGGATTTAGATCATTTTACATATTTATGCTTTAAGTTATTGAGCAAATAACCTGATACTGCGAAACTTATTTTATCGCATAGTTTCCCATTGGGCCATGAATAACTAAGAAACACCTTTGTGGAATGTAAAATTACATTTCTGAGCACAATACTTGACCAAATTAAGAATTTAGAATTTATCTTTAAGTACTTCTTTGGTTGTAGGATTTTATTGAAAGATTGCATCTGGGCAAGACTTTAATCCAACACCTATTGTTATGGAGTAAATAAGAAGCTCAAGCTATCATTCAAAATGAAAAAAAAATAAAGCAATCACATATTAACACAGCACAACAAATAACATGTTTAAATTTTGTTTTGAACCTAAATTGCATATTTATTATAAAAGTTTAATTTCTTGGAGTCCAGCTCAGACGCCCGGCCCCTACGGAGGTGAGTGTCAGATAAATCACAGCTATGCATCTTGAATGGAGGAGGAAAGAACAGCCAGGCTGCTTTTCTTGGTAGAAAACATGTTTTCTCTCTAAATCCAATCACCTGCCCAGTGTTTTCTTGGACATGCCTGCTCTTTTCTAAGCAGTTCACAGCAAAATCTTCCCAGATGGTTCTCAGTGACTAACCATCTGGTGCATCAGGTCAAGCAGCATGAATATATCTCTATATGTGTGTATATATTTATATAATTATAGAGAGAGAGATTTAACTGCAGTGTTATTGTAATGTGGATACATTTTCTGAACGCAGAAACGCACCTTGTTAAGTCTGCCTGTATCCAAATTATTCTAAGTTTATTGTAGAACTTAATATGCTGCAAACTTTCTGTAAAAACTACCCCGCATGACACTGGAGTCCTCCTTAATTAGGATTGAAATACAAATCTGCTCAAGCAGGTAAAGCCACGCATTCTTTGCACTTCTATTCTTCTGTGAGCATAAGTTATAAGACGAGAGGAAAAAGAAGAGAGCAAACACAAAAGTCGAAATAAAAGGCATACCAGGGGATGTGGGGTTAAGAGAAGTTTAACAAAGAGTGTAGCAGTGGGAGAAGGAAGGAGCCACCAAGAGTTTGAGTAAAAGAAACCAGAAGATGTTGCTGATTTTCTGTTGTCCACCTACTCACCTTGCCTTCGTCCTTTGGGCTGTCACTCAGATGAACTACAGGACCTGGGTGAGTTTTAGTTGATCTAAGATGAGAAGAAAGATGATGTATGAAACACAGACATCTTCTGTAGTGCTGCAAAACAACATTACAGGATAACGTTCCCCCTCCCCCCCCAGAATCAAGTAATTATGTTTGCATTTTTTTTCTTTTACCTATACAAGCTGGAGTACAAGTGGTTGCTAAAAATGAGGTAAAAACTATTGCTGCTAAAAACTATGACATTCATAGGCATTCTCTGGGGAAAAAAATAAATAAATAAAAAATTACTGATATTTAGAGAGCACTGAGAGAAAAAAAGCAGCGAGGGGAGCACATATGCACTTTAAAAGGTGGTGTGTTATAACTGTAATTTTCTTGTAATAAAAATCCAGCTGACAGCTACATTTAGTAAATTACCCTTTTGTGCAGTAATACATGTAATGTGCTTTCCAGAGTGCATTTCTTTCTATTACGTGCCAATGAAAGCTGCACAGTGACATGCAATCTAAGAACCATTTACACCTATGTTCTGGTTCCCATTATACTGTCTGAAATACAAAAAGGATGCACCAAGATTTGGTATATATAACCTAATAATAATTGTACCACTTTATACACTGATCTAAATTGGGGCACTTTGCATAATTAACTAAACGTACATTGCCTTGCAAGCGTATAAGGAGACCTTTGGCTTTTTCCCATATTGTTACATTACAATCAGATATATTAGAGTATTTTATTGGGATCTAATGTGAGTGACCAACATTAACAAGCATGTAGTTGTAAAGTGGAAGGAACATAGTCGATATTTTACAACAAAAAAACTTAAAGAAAATGGATTGGTGCATGTGTATTCAGCCCTGTTTAGCAGCAAAGAGTGACCTGTATGTATAAAAAGCTAAAGCTAATGTGCAAAGGCCTCAGAAGAATTTGGAGAGCATCAGGAAACAAACAATGTCACGACTTTAGCTGCATGTTTAGTATTACTGTCCTGCTGGTAGGTGAACCTCACCCCAGTCAAGTCTCTTTTTTTTTGCTGCATCTAACAGGTTTTCTCCCAGGATTTCTCTTTGTTCAGCTCCATACAAATCCCCATCTACTCTGAGCAGCTTGTCTGTCCCTGTTAAAAAAGCAAACCTATAATACAGCGCCGACACCGCCATGTTTCACAGTGCAGATGGCGCGTTCAGGGTAGGCTAAAATGTTGGTTTTCCACCAAACAAAGAGCTGTAGATGTTAGATGATGGTCCGTTTTAGCCTTTTCTGATCAGAGAACCTTCTTTCACATGATTTTCATGAGCCCCTCATTGCTTGTGGAGAGCTGCAACTGGGTCTTTTTATAGCCTTTCAACAGCGGATTTTTGCTTATGAATTTTATATAAAGGTGAAATCTTTAAAATGCAAGTACTTGGTTTACCCGTCAACAAATCTACCCAGTCTGTTGAAACAGTCCTTCAGAGTAACCGACCATTTGGTTGCTTCTTTGATACTCATCAGTTTAGGTGAATGACCATCTCTTACCATAGACCTATTCAATCTTTCTGATGATAGTTAGAAAATCTCTATGGATTTTTTTTCTGCTTTCTCCACAATTTTATCTCAGTTCTATCAGTTATTTAGTCTTCATATTGTTTTTCACCAACAATCTCTGACAAACTTCCAAGGCCTTAAGAGGAAAAGTACTGAGCTTACATTAAATTAACTATTTGCTCATAATCCCACTACACAAGTGCTCCACAACAAAAACACATAAATTGAAATACTTACTATATACTGATCTACGCCTTTTCATAAAGACTAAGTAAATCACCTGCCCAACTACCTGCTCACAGATAGACATCCATTAGGGTCAACTGATGATACAAAGTTATCTTAGAGTTTATTTATGAAAAAATATTGACGCAGAGGAAAAAATGTTCTCTGTACTTATTGGATTTTCCATGGCCATGACTCAGGACTAATGCTTGCTTTTGTATACAGAAGGCTGTACTCTTTGGCTGCTGAAAGCCTTCACACTGAAGAGACGGATATGAGAATTTCAGGTGGGTTGCCAAGAAATTAGTGACTTTGTGATTAAGTTTTTTCCGACAACTGCCAAGGCCAAGCTTTGAAATTTGTACAAAAGTAAAGCAGCAGATAATAAGCCAAAAGATTAAAAAAAAAAAAGATTAGATTTAAGAAAAAATGCTTGCTGAATACAACTATGAAGAGGATAAACAACAGGCTAAAAGGTTGAGAATTTCTTTAAAAACATGTTGATTTGGCTCTAACAGACAAGAGTCTTTAATCATGTAGGTGTGTGTGAATCCTGATGTGATCATGGAGTTTTAAATGTAGACATTTAAGGGGAATCTTCTCAATCTGGAGGACCTGAAATAGTCCTCATAGTTTGTGCTTAGTTCCTTTGGTGTTTTAACTTTGTTTGCTATGTTACTGACTTTGTTTCCATTGTTCTGCATTTTTACCCCCACACCTGCTTCCATTTAGTATCCATCACACTTGCCCCTGTTCATCTCCCTTAGTGCATTCAGACTGTCACTTCTGCCTCAGCCATGGTGCAGCTGTACGTGAGAAAACCAATGGGATTTGCTAATTGTTGTGGTCAGCATTCAGGCTAATTACTGTAAGTGATACAAGCAAATAACTTACTTTGAAAAACACTTTTAAGTCAAAGCATACTGGCCCACTTCATCTGATAAGAGGACACTGAGACAGTAGAAATGCTTTATAACAGATATGTTCGCTACTCTTCAGTTTGCTAGCTCAGCAAGTGTCTGTCATACAGGAACAAAACAAACATCTTTGTAAAAGGTAATCTCTCTGCTCACTTGCAGAGTTTGCTGGCATTGGGGCCATTTGAAGAATAAGTGAACAAGTGCTTTTCTTCATCTTACCTACATAACTTAGGCAGTTCAAGGTCTGCTAACTGTCCAAACCAAACCTCAGACTTCAGGAGTTGTTCAGGTTGGCGATTCTGATTTAGAAGTCACAATTTATGATTTCAGAGTAACAACAAGCATTCGTTTTACAGGTTTTTAGTTCTGCGAGTGTCCTCCTTTCATTTCACTTTTTTAATTTTTCACCCTTTTTCTTAAAATTTTCCTTTTTTATTTCTTAAATTAATATATTTTTATATGTATAACACTTTGTCACTACTTAATATATAATTGGGCCCTGCAACCAACTATTGCTGCTTATTACAGGAATTATCTCATCTGACGGCACCCTGTGGAGTGCCTTGACAATGGGAGGGGTACCGTATTTTCCAGACTATAGAGCGCACCTCACTATAAGCTACACCCACAAAGTTTAAACTACATATCTAAAGCCGCACTGGGCTATAAGCCGCTGGTATCTCCGCTGCTCTCGGTTTTCCACAAGGATGCAGCAGAGGGCTGCAAAGCGGAGGGCTGCGTCCTTAATAAATCTGCTATTAAGGATGCAGCCTTGCATTGCCAACGCCGAACCATGGGTTCGTTCACGCCAAACTTACATGCAGTGGCTCTATTTCCCCTCCTGTACTGCCAGATCGATAGCCTTCAACTTAAAAGCGGCATCATATGAACTTCTTCGTGTTGTTCCCATGATGAGGGGGGTATGAGTTTGAAAACATCGTTGTGCCCGATCCTAGCATGTGCTTGTTCTAAATGAAAATCAGCACTCTCTTCTTTGATTTCCAATGTTGACTTCCAATGATTCACTTCCTGCTCATGCGCCCCCTGGCGGTTGAAGAAAAAAAATCACAGAAAAGCCGCACCGGGCTATAAGCCGCATGGTTCAAAGCGTAGGAAAAGAGTAGCGGTTTATTGTATGAAAAATCATAACATAAACTGAAGGCCATGATGTGATGGTACCTCAACATACACAGGAGTGATTTTCCTTTTTTTCCCAGCTAAAGTTTATCACATAAATTAATGAAAACAATTAAATGTTACATAGTGGCTTTGGTTGTCAACACTCATTTAATTTCAGCATGAGACAGTATTGCTAAGCTCCAACATTAATTTGTAATTGTTTTGTTATGTTATTTGTTTTCAGAAGTGGAGAGGATCTAAGGCCACAATAATTCCTCCATGTACCCAATTAAAAATAATCTCTAAAATCCCCTAGTTAAAGATATATAAAAAAACATGAAACAACCAGCTAATGAAGCTACTGTATTATAGATGAACTTTAACATATATTAGTTACGTTTTTAATTGAGCCTTATATGCTCAATTAATAGCATAATAAATAATAAATTTTTTAGCTGATAAATAACTTATTATTTATCAGCCTTTACAAGTTAAATATTATGATCTATTTTGTAATGGTTATTTTACATTTAGTTTGGTCTTTTTAATGTTTTTGTTTTCACATTTCCATGTTTCATTTTATTGTCACAACTTGTCTAGTATTTTACTTTTTTGATTTTTGTTTCAAATGTGCTTAATTTGGTGATTCCATGTGTGTGAATAGGATGTCAGTATCTTTATAATACATACAAAACTCATGTCTTACACTCATTTGAATAAAATGTTCTCTTCAAATAAATTTAAATTAATTTACTGACTGACTTACTGACTGATTCTTAACCACAGAAATGTCCGTTTATACTTTTTGACACCTTGTTTAACCAGCCAGCCTTCTGACTCGTCGTACTGCATAGCCAGAAGCCTTAAATAGAATAAATTAACATAAAAATTTAAAATTTTGATTTAATTTCTGGCAATGTATTGTGTAAGAACTAAATTTGTCCAGATGGATTTGTCTAATGAACAGATTACCATATCAGTCCTCCTAAAAGCTTTTAAGAACGCTGCTGGTGTCCCAGTGTCTGTCGAGAAACGGTGTTGCCAAAGAAACCAGCAACTGTTAAACAATGCAGCATTTTGTGGCCTTGGGAATCAAAAAATGGAAATAAAGCATGCCCCAGCACATGCTGGAAAGTGAGAGGAAAGGAGTGGATTTAAATAGATATTGTAAGTATTCAATTATTTTCAAACAAATGTCATGCAAGGACATGTTTATCTCCACCAGGTCCGGCGGAACCATGGCAACCAATCATGGTTAGATGAGGGTAAATAATCAAAATGACAGCTGAAAGGGAGCTAGATGGGGCAGGAAATAGTCAGCAGCAAACATGTCAAGAACACAATACATTCACACAACGACATACATTTATTTTATATCCCATGTGAGAAGGCTTCGCTTCAGGTTGCCCAGCATGTGACGTATATCTAAAGCATTCAGATTTAGATGAAATGGCTGAAAATAGATCATTTATTTTAGAGGAAAACACTGTTTATGGTTATAGATGTTTTGATTTATTTAGATTGAGAGGGATTTTGTAAAAAGAATAGCGCTAGACAGTCACTGTGCAGGAAGTCGTGGTAGAATAATAACCATTAAACTCAACTCAAAACATCACAGAAAAAAATGACAGACATCATACTTTTTCATAAGAATTGATGCAAAAAGAAATGTACTTAGACCTTTGCAAAGTGCATGATTTGACGCTTTATCTTTAAAAACCCAGTCAAGACAGTAATCTTTCTACACCCTCAACCTGACATGAATTATATTTTATGTGGCATGACCACTTTCTTTCTCTTTATTACAGCATCAGGAAGTTGCTGAAAGCCTATCGTTTGTTTTCACTATCCTTGCAGCACAAAGCTAGACATGCCAGTGTTGATTACACAATGCAAGGCGTAAACACAATTCCACTTATTATTAGGATCTATAACATGTAGCCGAGTGGGCTGCTGTGTTCTCCCATTCCTCCCTGCATCTCATTTTTTACATCTCATTTTGGAACGAATTTCCTGGAGATGAAATTGGGCATTAAATATGTTGCAAAGCTATTTGAATTTCAATGAGAGCCAGGTCCTCCCATTTTGGCGCCGCAGTCCCTGTTGGATTGTTGCTATAACAGACTCTTTTCAAGAGTGCACACTTCAGTTTGAATTAAATTAATCCATCTGTGAACGGGTGTTACACAAACAAACACTCCGAGCGCACAGACAACACACAAAAGTGTGAGTAACATGTACATGTTACTCACACTTATTTGAAAAAGTCTGAACAATTTCTCTCCTGCTCACTAAATGATCCACAGTTGAAAAAAAACAAAGCCCTGGCTCATCCTTATTCATGTTTTGTGGAAAGCGTTCCATTACAAACAATGAATTTCCCAAGTCCCTCTGTATACTGATAGGAGAAGAATGATTATCTTCTGGTTATACTTCTCATGAACTCTAGCTTAGAAAGTGCTGGGAAATGTAAAATATAGAATAGATTAGTTTATGTTTAATAAAGAGAAAATGATTCTCCACTGAGGTGGATGAATGCCCTGCTGCCTCATGAGGAACAATAAACAAACTAGTGACATTGTCAAATCTGTTGTTCTTTAAAAACTGTCTTTGGGTTTTTATTTATTTATAATGTGTCCATAATCGTTAAATATGTTTGCATCCCCACAGTTGAACAACGCCTTATTTTGATAGCTGGTGGTTTAAAGTTTTTTTCTTTTTTCTTTTGGTGCAATACAGAGTCTTGCAAAATAAGTAATTGCACACCTTGAACTTTTTCACATGTCATATTACAACCATAAACATATTTTTTTTAACTGATTTTTTTTTTTTATAATGCAAAGTTGTGCATAATCATAAAGCAGAAAGATAATGGTTCAATGTTTCTTAATACATATATCTGAATTAAAAATAAAATGTTTTGTACTATACAAATAAACTTGACTCGACTTAATTATGGCCAGGGACAGAAAATCCTGATGGGGTCAGTCATCCAACCACAAACTTGAACTGTTTGAAAAGAAATTATTTTTGCTTTGTTTCTTCCAGATGTACAAAAGAACAGATTAACAACACTCGGCGTCTAACACTCCAGCCCTGCAAACTGATTGGCAGTCAGGCCTCCCACACAAACACATCAGTGTTAAAACTGCTCACTTTAGTTTGGGCTGACATACAACATGGTTTGTAAAAAGACTTATGACTGACACTGCGGCAGGGTGACTTGTCAGGGTAACACCAGAAGAGTGGCACATAGGTGGGTGAAGCCAAGAAAAAAATGGGCGTACAATGCAACTGAGCGCCAGTTGTTTTCTTGTGCTTTTAGTTGTCAATCTGCAGCTTACTGCATGTAGGCTGCCAGTCTGCACAGCCAGCCGTACACAAACAAAAGTAATTGTCAGATGAGTAAACCCTTGCATTTTAAGTAACGATGACTCACAAGATTATTAAATATTAGTTTAAGAAAAATGTACTTAATAATGAGTGCACTTTAGGCTGGTTTGTATATTCATGGTGTACTTATTCTGTGGGTGTATGAGATATGTAAAGTGAGATGAGTTAGAGAAAGAGGTTAATATTATAACTGCCATTTTTAATTATTATTTTCATAACTCTGTGTGGTCACTTATCTGCCCAGTATGCAGTCACCAGTAACAGCTCCTAATTTTAAAAAGTAATTTTATGTCACAAGATGCTCAACAGCAATTTAGCTAAATTTAAAGGTTCTGAATGGCTGCCTGTTTTTTTTTTAAGCCAAAAGCAAAAATATTGTCATTTACAATCAATACTTAGCAACCAACAAACCACCTTAACAATTACTGTCTGCAGCTCCACATGTATCATTATCCTAACAATTAAAAAATCTCTGCTGACACCATAATAACAATGTTATCACTGTTAACGGTGGTGTTTGAAACGCTTGATACTTACAGTTCTATGGCCTTGTTCCACATGATGACATATCCAGACAAAATAAAAGACTCAATGTTGACGATGTGTGTGTTTCCACGCTCCGTCCCCACGTACAGCCATTTACTCTGAAAGGGCAGGTGGCAAAAGGTGATCCTGGGGAACAAAGGGTGGGACATTGACCAAGGGTCAGAAAATCAGACAGAAGGGTAAAAGTCTGTAAGTCAATAACATGACTGACAGTAGTTTTTACTGGTCCAGTTTTGTTGGTCTTTATTGTAATTACATCTATAAGAACCCACAAAAAAGCAAGTTTAACTCATTTCCTTTCAAATATAAACTAAATGGAACAAATCAGCCTTTAAAGGTAAATTATTATCACTTTCATTATTTTCAAAGTAGATGAAACATTTTTTAAAAACCATTAAAAAAAACCATGCAATTAAAAATCTGTTTAGTTTTTTGTTGGATTAAAAACAAAAGAAGTGATTGAGCACATTTTCTACAAAGACCATCTGGGAAGGAACTGTTGCTGAATTCTGTGAAAGTACAAATGCAGTACAAGTGTCTTTTGTCTGTACAACATGTTAGCTGATCTGCACTAAACGAACTCAGACTTGAGCTGGAGACTTCTCAATTCACTACTTTAGTCCTGGTGTATGCTACACTGATGCCAGAGTTTGACATTTCCAGCTGGACATCATTAAATGGTATCTTTCACCTGCCTTTTCAGTGACCTTGTGCTGGCAGTTTTTGTCTTCCATGCTTTTTTTCCCCCCCTCAAATTTCCTGATTTCAGTCAAGGATGCACAATTCTGGAGGTCAAAGCTACAAGCTTGAACAAAGGAACAAAACAAACAAACCAAAAAAAGTTGCCAAACCTCTAGGTCTATTTAATCAAAGAAACAACTACTGAATTAAAAAAAGTTAAACTTAACTTTACCTATATCATTCAAACACATCTTACGATGACTCATTTCCACAAGCCAAACCATGAGTCATTCTGTATCAAGGTTTTATTTAGAATACAAGTTTCATTGCCAGACGCTGCTTTTCCTCCTCTATATGTTGTCACTCCTACTGAGGACGTCTTATGCCATAAAAGCAGTACAGTCTTTCAACATTTATATTTTACATGCACCTCTCTACATGCATTTGTTAAAATTGTATGTTACTCTTCATTTCAGAGACACCAACTGCTCCACAAGTAATTTTCTCAAAGAGTTTAGTTTTAGATTTAAAAAGAAATAGACTTCACAAATATTTGACCATTTCAATGGGTTTAGCTCTTATAACAATCACTAATGTAGCTGTGGCTCCATAGGTGAAGTAAGTGTGAACCGTCACCCGGGTTTAAGTATTTCACAGCCTCCAACAGGTTATCTTTCTTCTTTCATATATCTTCCCTCTGGCTCTCACCAGCTTACCTGTCCCCATTAAAAAGAAGCATCGATATTCCAACAGCATGATGCCGTCAACATGTTTCACCATGAGGATGGAGTTTGGAAATATAGGATTTTGCAAAGGCCAGAACTTTCCTCCCCATGTTTACTTTGACAATTGCCCTCAGTCAGTTATAATGGATCCCAGTGGTCTATGATGATTTGGAAACCTGCAGTAATGGGTTTTGCATCATGACTTCCATATACATTCTATTGGGATCATATAAAGTCAGACACAGGCCTTTGTTGCTTATGTTTTTGATTACTATGTTTATTAAACAGAGTTGATAAAACAGTTATTCTGCCAATGAGTTGTATCATCTTCCCCATATAAAAAAAAGATCAGCAGACCGTTATACATGTCTATGCTGATTACTTTACAGAAGCCTAGGGGTGGAGTGTGTGTGTGTGTGTGTGTGTATGTACGTGCGTGTGGAAGCAGAAAGGGGGTGGGAGGGATGCTCATTGGGCTTCAGCCCAACATCCACTCACCCTGTGAGCAGTCGGATTATTTGATAAAAGACAAATGAGATGGCAGACAATTCAATAAGGATTTTAGGAGCTTAAGGTGATGACAATATCAGAACTGGCAGGGGGGGGGGGGGGCAGAATTTCCTTTTACAAAACAGAGGATTAGACAATCTTATGCCTTCTAGAAAATACAAATTTCTTACTTACTTTAAAAAGATTTTTCATGGTGTTCTTGAATTATTTTGAGTAATCCTGTTACATAAAAACAAGCCAGAGGGGACACTTCCAAAAGAATCAAGACTTTTAAACTTTACCGTTTCTAATTTACCTTGGAATGGGAACAATATTAATGTTAATAACATTTCTATGGTTCTCACCTTGGCTGTGGGTTCAGGTGAGGCCTTGTTGGCTCTGTTCACTACATCCTATAGTTAACCACATAGATCATTAACTCTCCTACAATGTTGTCCTCACTGTGTAACACCTCCAAAATGTTTTATTGTACTAGCATAGACATATACACACAATTTCTGAGAAATCAAACCTGAATTTTTCATATATTTAGTATTACATAATGATCTGTTTTTCTAATACGCTGGTATATCAGAAAACACACTAAAGGCTGAAGGTTTCATTAACACACACTCAAGGTACATGTGAAAAAGTGGCAGTTGGTCATTGTAAAGTACTGTGGGAGAGATGTGATGATGTGTCTCTTCCAAACTTGGACATTTTGTTAGAATAGATTTTAAGTTAAAAAAAAAATGGTGTTATCTTGAAGAAAACTGAAAATGGGTCATCACTGAAACTTTCAGTAAGATAATAATCCAAAATATCAAGCCACTCACTTGTGCTAGTAAAATACACAAAGTAGAGGAACAAGGTACCACAACTGGGTTAATAACAACCAAAGAAGACAGCTGCCTTTTGACTAGGCTCTGTGAGACCAGTTGAGAAGCAAATACCCTTAATGGAGTAAACAGATGTAGAGATTAAGTGGTTTGGTTGCATCACCCAGGGAATTGGCAACCTTGCCATCTGCTCTGCGTGACTTGTGACAACTGCTAAAGGAATCCCACAAAGACTTACTGTATCATTAACCAACAGACATGTGCCATGATGATGACTACATCAGCTAAAACAGCTCATTTTTGCTGAGAGGAACACAATAGAAACTGTCCTGTGTGTCATGTACTGCAAAAGTCAATTTTGTGTGGATTGTGCTCAGTTGCGTTTTCTTTTTTTTTTTTGACAGCAGCATGCCAGTCACTGGAGATTGCCAGGCACAAGCTGCTGGCAGACAGTTGTCACAAAACAATTCTTCAGACATTATTGTTTTGGGTCCCAGTAGGGTGTTAGGGTGCTAATTGTCAGAGGTTCAGCCCAGAGACACAGAGCTAACTGGAAAGGCGCTGCTCTGCCTCTAGTGGGTGACTCATGATGCCTTTTCCCTTCTTTTGTCTTAGATGGTGATTCAGTGCACCTCCGCTGTGAGCAAGTGGCTCTGCCTCCTACCATTTTGCACCAGAGCCAGGTCAAAGACATCTGATTTGATGGAAATCACTTCAGAAAATATTTACCACTGTATTAGAGAAGGTAGCTTATATGAATTGCATATCCACAGTGATGATCCCTAAATTGTTTTTCACAAATTAAAGCAGATCCTCGCCATTCATCTTTTAATCTGGACTTGCCATTATCTTCATGGAAGGTTATTCTCTGACCAAGTTTCAAATTTTTGCAGCCAATAGCATGTTTTCCTGAAGGATTGCTGATTATTTGGCTCAAGTCATCTTCCCATCAACTCTGACCAGCTTCCTTGTACTGTACTTCCTAAAAAGCCATGCCCCGGTTACCTTTCAAATAGAGGTGTCATAGTACACACAAATATTGATTACCTCAATTTTAATGTGATGTTTTTGTAGAACAGAAAAAAAAGCATAGACCAAATTATAGGTTTTGCCTTATGATCTAATAACAGAGATATGCTACCTATTCAGCATTGGAAATTGAAAAAAAATATATGATGCAATGGCTTGCCATACTTCCACATATTATGATGTAGTGCCAGAAAAAGTTTGTGGACTGCTAATCACAAAAATAACTCATAATGCATGTCATCATTATGAGTTATTTTTGCATCGCTGTTATTGTTGAGAACTTTAGAAATGTTATTTCTCTACCTTCATAATAAGGTATGAAGGTATGAAGATAGATTTAGACAATCTATCAAAGATAGAAAATTCAGATATGCTTGGGTAATTTATGTACCATGACAGTTAGGTATGAAAACATGAACCATTGCACCCCTGTAAGCACTGTTGGCAGAGTCAGTGATGACTTTGACTCTCAACACAGTCACAGTCTTCAAGAGCATCATGAAAGTGGCGTCATGAACTGAAAATGGATGTGTCTATCCAGGAGAGAACTACTCAATAAGAAAGTTGGTTGACCTTCAGAATGAAAAAGTTTCATATTTTGTTCTCTGTTGACATATAACATATTCTGTTGTGTGTCCAGGTTGGGAATTTGGTAAAATAAAAATAAAAAAAGTCACAAATAAGTACAAAAAACACGGGGAAAAAAACACTGAATATGTTGGCCATTCATTTTCTTTGCTCAATGCTAAAAAATTTTTGCAGCACATCTTTCTAAAGGTCACCTATTTTAAAATAATTCCAATAATCAGCAAACTGCTGTTAAGAGTTATTGGATTTTGAGAGCAGATTTCTTTGCTGAAAGAAATTCAACACCCACAGTGACTTTGTGACCCTGCACTCTGTTGAAAAAAAAATTGCATCCACTGTTCGACAAATTCAGCACCATTTTCATTAAATGTCCTTTCCTCTGACACAAGGACATACAGCAGCATTTCAAAGACATCAAAAGGTCTCTGGAACTGAAAAAAGTCAGAAAAAAACAACAACATTAGTGCATAAAAGCTGCACTATCCCAGAATGTTATCACCAACATTTTCCTGCATAACTGAGTTGCTTTTTTAGCTTGGTTAAGTAAACATGTTTCATAACCCATTTCATCGGTTCCTCTTTCACCAGATCAAGACTACCCTGTAATCTTTTTGCTGCTTCACCGGTCATCCTCCAACAATGCTCCGGTGTCGGTACGTCCAAAGCCGTTTCCTCACCATCTACACATTTTCTTCCCCGTTATCCTTCTCCTTCTAAGTCTTTACTTTTACTTTTAAGCTCCTTGTGGTTTTACTGGTTGTGAAGGCTGTAGCATAAAGTTACCAATTAATTCTGTTTTTCACCTCAGCTTCCCTGCAAAGCATTGCCACCAATTCCACACTTTTCTTTCCAATAAATCTAATTTATATAAACTTCTACCAAATTTTTGAGTAAAGAATTATCAAATAAAATTATGGACCATCACAAATTGGTCAATGTCAATTTGACACCCAGGATAGTGTGGCCTTTAGGATCAGAGTTGATATTCACCCAAGAAGACCTAAACCAGACCCTCCATGGACTAAACGACAGGCTGAACAGTTTTTATTTTTATTGTGCCGTCCTATTATGATATTTAGGAGACCGTAAAACGCTTACACAAAACAATGAGAACAGCTTGATAATTGGAGGCTGTTGGATGTTTTGTAGTTTCAAGTGGGTTAATTTTATGTTTGTAGATGAAAACCTTGGATGATAAAAGATTATGAAAAGAGAATTGAGTTAATGTTTAACAGTGGGAACAGAGACCAGGCTGCTACCGTAAGGTGAAGGCGGAGAGTGCTCACATTAAGCTGCTATAAATTGACTGACTCATAAAAAAAAAAATCAGGGATTAAATCCCGTGCATATTGACTTTCACATGAGAGGATACTTCATATTCAGAAGGTGAGAGGAGGTTTGACATTTAAATCTTGAAAGACACGTTTGCTTTAGATGCAAGGTGAGCAGGTTTTAGAAACTTCATCTCAGATGAAGAAAAACCAAAGTTATTTAAAGACAAACAAAGTAGGTCACAGTAAAAGCTTTACTTGTATGCCTTCTTTAAATTTAAATCATAAAAAGGTTTTGATCGTTTTGACTAATCTGTAAGGATTCTGCAATGGTTTTGTATTTTAGCATTACATGTGTAACCTTATATCTTGGGTAAAAGTAACACAGCAGCAACATCCTCTCTCTATTACCCTCATGACCCTGCAGAGATATCAGGCATAACAGCATCTGAAATAAACTCTTACAGGAACTTTAGGGCAAAACTTTGCTCCTCTGTAGGAGGAGAAAGCCACTCAGTTCTATCACACAGCGAAAAAAAATCCCTGGCAGAACCACCACGTTTACAAAGTTGCACATTTGACCCTTAATAATAAATCAAATTGAAGTCATGCACCACCATGCACAGAATGACCAGGCTGCCATTACCAATATATATTTTTTTGTTTGGTTTTTGCTCTACAATCTCTCCTACATGAAGGCAGTGTGCAGCACTCAGGTAAAAATGGTTTCATGTGGTTCCAGGGTTAAAATGCAAAAACAACTCTGGGGTTTTGTCACTACCATGCCTGTATGGGCCATATCTCTCAGAGTCAAACCTAAAATCATTCATTTGGCCACAGCAGCAAGACTGGTAGAATAATCTTCTGGTACAGCATGATGGGTACGGACAGGTCAGCTGTGTAATGGGAGTCAGATCAGAAGAAGTCTTTGGCCACTGGACTGAATTACTCAGACAGGTACGTTCCTTTTTCACAAAGTGTAAGGTGTGGCGTGTGTGTTCACTCAGTGTTGGTATCTGTGTGTGCAGATCAGGTGTCTGTCAATCAAGCTGAATTTCTGCGTACCTCTCTCTGTTGAATTTGAGTGAATGCAAGACTGCCGGTCGTCTCTGGCGCAGATTCCACAGGTGTAGTGTGTCGTCTGCACAGGCTGTGACCAGCGCCCCCTGAAAGAAAAAGAGAAGACATTTTAGCAGAAAAGAAATTTGACTTATGAAAGAATTTGGTTTGCTTGAAGTGAGGTTCTGTTAGTCATTATGAGTAATAATTCCAATAATTGTAGTAGACACAATGCTACTTTGATATAAGTGGAAAAGTGAAGAAATCCTCAAGGTGAAAGGATGTCAGATGGACATGATGTTTAGCCCAGTTTAAAGATTTAAGCTAAAGCTGGAAATGTTGGTATTTATGGGATGCAATGCTGTGTCAGTAACTACCAGCCATCTAAAACGTTCACTATTGTTAAATATGTATCCATTTGATTGCTCCAACCCAGGTTGAGTATCTATGTAACCTTGAGTTGGTATCTGATTGTCGGTCTCTTGGGGTTACTTCTAAACAACTCCAAAACCTGTAAAAGAACAGGAATCTAGAATCCAGGGGTCTTACAACTTCTAGATGGGTCTCAGCTTCAACAAACCTGAGTCCTATAATGAGGTCATTAGCAGGACTCTGGAGAACTTGACTGCATACTGAGGAGCTAATTAAGCCATTTGATTTAAGAAAGCTGAACCAGGGGCACATCTAAAAGCTGCAGAAAACCGGACCTCAAGCCCTGGATTTGAGGGTCCCTGTTTGAACTTTGCTCCGCTGACCACCTAAAGAAAACTGATGAGACAGATTGATAGCTGGCAGAGGTAGCCAACATGAGTGTTTGTGACTCCATAGATACTATGATGGTGCATACCTTATGTTTAGCATTTGGACTGTTTCTAGAAGCATTAGAGATCAGATGGAAATGCAAAAACATGCAAAAAGATAATTTTGCATAAACACTAGTGATTCACTAAGATTGTGATCTCAAAATGTAATAAAGCTACAAAGCAATAAAAAACTAGTGGTTACCACAATGTAAAAAAAAAAACAACCAGATTCCCCTTTAATTTAGATTTGCATCACAGTAAATCATCACTTAGTGCTGCTCTCTTCTCAGGTAGTAAACATCATATCAGAAAATCCTGACAGCCTTTAAACCTGGAACTGGAACAGATTTTAACATTTTTTTTTTGGATGTCATTCACAGCTCCAAGCTCCAACCCTATAATGGAGCATGGCATGACACCCAGCGGAAACTGTTACTAGCTCATTGTTGTCCTCTTCAGTTTACAATTTCGTTTTGCAAAAACGTTCCCCAGAATTTTCCTTTTGGAATTTTTCACATGAAACAAAGAAACTGTGCTTCAAGAGCTCATGTTTAGGTTGTTGGTGTTTAGCTTTATATGATAGTTAATTCATTCACACTCACCTTTCAAAACAAACAAACAAAAAAAGACTGCTACAGGATGCTAAAAGTAACACTAAGGAAATGTGCAGCACATTTAAAGATCAGTGACTCTAGTGTTTTTTAAGATAATATATATAACCTGCAATGAGAAAAGATCCAAATAATGCAGCTAGTATCTCCAGAACATCTAGATTATTGTTTTTCTGACAGATCACAGTTTGTGGTGTCCAACAGTTGTGCAAATGAGAAAACAGCAGCACCGTATATGCAACAGTTTCTCCTCAGACCACAGAAATAAGATATCCAGCACAACTTTGAGTTCTTTCAGCTACAGAAATACTCAAATGACTTTGCAGTCAGTCACATTTTAGAGGGAATGAAAAGAATCAGAACACATATTTGATCTTAAAAGAAAACGTTATCGCCAAGATATGAAGCATGAAGGCAAAGAGCAGAGTCTTCTTTTATTTTATTTTATTTTTTATAACTCATCTCTTATCAGTCCCCGGTAGAGAGATTTTTATTTTTATTTTTATTTTTTACCCCTAATCTTTTGGGTCTGCATCGTTGCTCAAAGAAACAGAACAAACAGACAAAAACAGCTTGCTTTGTCATTGGTACTCCCCCACAACCTGTAGTTCTGGTTATATAAATAAGAGTGGTGTCCAAGCTGCTTAGCATAATGGACCGCAATACCTGCCACATCCTTCAGCTCTGCTACATCAAGAACGTTGGAGGTAATACCACTCTGCATTAATTTCCTTTTTAATTCTACAGAGGAAATGCACAATCCAGTTTCCTTGTCCTGTTTCTTCTAATCATGTATATTATATTTGCAATTACAATAAAATTTCCCTTTGGGAGCAGGCATGGATTTGTTTGACTCCACTGCATTCAAGAGTAAAAAAAAAGAAAAATGCAATTAGGCCAGCAAATATTTACAGGATCTGCACTAAGCAAAGAAGTGAAATGACACATCATACTGGAGAAAACACTGGTGTCAGCCCAACATCTGAAGAAAATTGAGATTACAGTTGAATTCCCACTGAGGCTGTGCCTGCAGAGCATCGCCGTAAAGACTGGAGCCCAGGGAGAATTAGCTTTAGATTACAAACCTAATCACAGGATTAAGGACTGTAATGTTGCATGGACTGCTTCCAACTGATTTCCACATTGGTGACATATCCCACTGATTCTCCAAATCCATTATTGTATGGGAAGCAGAAAAGAAGTTTAACAATAACTTGTTAAAATTGTTTTTAAGAAGATTATTTACTTACACCTATCCACCAAAAATACAAGTACTACTACAGTACTGAACGTCTTTCCCTCCTGACTGTTTACTTTGTTTTTCCTGGTGTTCATAGTTCTTTCAAAGATTTTTGTGAAATACAACTACGGTTATAGAAAATAGCCTTCCCCTTTTTCTATATACAGAATGATTTGGATGCTAGCAAGTTCAGAAAATTAACTTGTTTGTATAACTTTACCTTACCAACAGCTTTCCATTCAAAGCGACTCATTTTCTTTTCTGCATCTCATGTAATTGCTCCCCTGGGGTTGGATTAAAGCTGTTCTGCATTGAAGGAATTAGTCATTTCCAATTACGGCAAAATGGATTTGTCAAATGGATGTGCAAACTTTCAGAGAGAAAATGTCTTTCGAGTGGCATTATCCGCATAGCTGAGGGTCTGCTTGAGGTGTACTTTTCTTAGGAAAATTTTGAATGCATACAGTCAAATCAACATCCTGCAATGTGGTTCGACATTAGGAATGATCCAAATTACTTTTGGAAAAGAGTTCTAGTTTCAATGCACTCCTTTTTAGATGTTTAGCCAACATATTGATTCTCAGCGATTCCCGGTCTCAATACATTTAATCAGTATATTCAGAATTAATCTTTGAAATGTTCCTGTGAGCCATAACCACATTATGCAAAGAAGACAAGAGTGTATGGATTCGAAGAAGGTGCAAAACCATCTCAAAGAAAATATGTCAGGCAGGAGAACAAGAACATGAGCAGCTGACAGGGCACAATCTACCTGACTGCCAGTGTGTAATTATTGTGATGGCAACAAAAAGAAAGGTGAGCAGCTACATGGATGGTGCATGTATGCTTACAGCAATATTATAATGAGCAGCAAAACCAGAAAACTATACAGCTTATATATACTGTATGTGTATTTATGATGGCCTACACCATCTTGTGTCAAACGGCTGACTTCATGGATTGAGAGAGAGCTTCTAAAGGTCACAGTGTGCTCTATCCTAACAGAAAGTTGGGTGGAAGGAAACAGTATAACATAGCATGGTAAGGAAAGTTTGTGTATATGGTAGCATTTCTTAAATCCACCTGAGACCAAAATGCTGGTCAATGTGCATTGTTTCAACAAGACGTGCTCCGTTGCTCTTCTCCACAGACTTGAGTGCTTAGATTTTCACACGCAATGTCACACCCACATCCAAAGTCACTACCTGTCAGAGAGCACACAAACTACTCTCTCTTCTTTTACCATCCATCTCAATTGGCCACAGACGCATCACAAGCAGGCCAGTGAGTGATGAAGGAGAAGGCAAAATATACCCTCTATAAAGAAAGGGTGAAGATTACAGCAGAATGAAAAAGCAGAAAAAAATAGAGATACATTTTACGTACAAACCAGAATCTGATTGCTACTGGACAAGAATTGTCCTTAACGAGCTTACGGCAGATTGTTCTGCTTTTGAGCAAATGTTTGTCAATATGATTCTTTTGAAGGCTAGTTCATTGTACACAGATCTGGCATAACAATGTGACTACCCACAAGGCAAGTGAGTAACACTATTTATCTCTTTATTCCTGCTCCTGCTGGGGTGGATATACGCTTGAGTACAAAACTGTGATTGGAAGAAGAACGAATCAGAGTCGTTCTATAACATCAGTGTTTAAGTGGTGTTCCCAGTCTGCAGTGGATAAAGTTTATCAAAAGTGGTCCAAATGGAAGAACAGCTATGAACCGACGGCAGGATGACTGTCTACTGATGCATGTGGTGTTTAAACACTTTTAGTTGGATAACAAAGCAAAAATGGTTCAGGTGTTTCCTGGGGAGCACAACAAGTTTTAGGTGGTGGCCTGATGGACAACCAAGAAATATTAAACTTAAAGGATTTAAAGAATCTACTGCTAGTACACCACGCCCTTTTCTAGAAAAGAAAATAAGTTGTAAGAAAAACGCATCATCATTCATAACATTGCAACAGCGCTTTGCAAAAACAAAACCAAGCTCAGTAGAATGTATCATCCCACACCAGCTCATCTGTAGAACAGTTTCATGAATTATCACTTAAAATGTCGTCTGCATAAACTTGGCTTAGAGCAAGGACGTTTTTATTTTACATTCCAGATACGTCTGTCAAACTATGGCTCCAAAGACTCAATGGCAACTGAAGAACCTGATGCGTCACATTCAAAATTTTGAATCTGTTCATGCAGCATGGTAAAAAAAACAAAAACCTCATGCTAGTGCTGTGCAAAACAGAAACTCAGTGGTGAAAGGGATTGCTATTAATCATCAACGAATATTACCAACATTTCCTTTCAAATGAAGCATTTTTCTAAATTATGCTTTTTTCAGGCTCTCTAATAAGGTTTCACACCAAACCCACCTGAAGTATTCTGCTCACGTTTGTGTGCCAACAAAATGAATACTGTCCACACACACCTTGAGGTTTATGGATAAGACAAATAGGACTCACGGCTTGTATCATATGTTTGTAAGAAAAAATGACTAAAAATCATAAATTTTTGAATACATTCTCACAGATTCAGGCTTACCTCATTGATGAGGAACTGAAGTTGAAGAACAGCTGCTCCGCTCTCATGTTGACAGTAGCAGTCCACCCCTGGTCGGCCCAGTCTGACGGCACCAAAGAGTCAAGGACTATTATGTTGTAATATTCGCTTAAGAAATCACAGAAGCCTGTTTCAGCACTTCCAAAAAAAAAACAAAAAAAAAAGAAAGAAAAGACAAAATCAGCTTTACTGATTAAAGCACTTCACGTGTAAATTGTAACAAATTTTCATATGGAGGTACACCATAGCTGTGTTGAGAGAATGCCGTTTCCTGAAAGTTGCTCTGGCTTTTTACAATGTTTTGTTTTCAAACAGTACATTTTTGTATTCACAGTAAACTCACAGCTGTTTGCAAAAAACTGAATTTTATAGATGATAATTACCTTTAAGGAAACAACTTGCAGGAATTATCCATATTTGATCCTTTTTATTTGCCAACTGATCCTCCATTTTCTGTATTTCACATTTTAAACCTTCTTAAAAGTTTAAAGTGTTCCTTCCTCCATTTCTTAGAAAAGATGTTCTTTAGACTTTATTGTCCAGTGAGGCTGCAACAGTCCAAGGCAAACAATAGTCTGATAACAACCATATTTTCTCATGAGGAGATAATCTAGGCCAGATAAAAACCTGAGCCTCATCTATTAGCTCGGGGGGTTGGGGATGTCTCAGAAACCTTAATTCAGAAAGGAAAAATACATCAAACTGTGATGCATGTTGGAAGGGAAATATAATAGTATGATGTATGGGAACGTTTTACCTGCACCTGCTCTCTGTGTGCTCCTGCCGTCTGTCTGGTTCACCGAGAACAAAATATTAGATTGATTCCTTTTTTTAGTTTCACTCAAATACAGGAACCTGTGTCTGCACACCCTGACAGTATATACACATTTAGTTTTAGGTCTGAAGCTTAGAACTGTTGGCCTTTCTGTGCCATTAGTTGATATGAAGCAGCACCAAAATGTGGTTGTAATTTCTGGCTTTATTGTTGGAAAAGGCGTTCTAGTCTTTTCTCGTAATGAGAAAAAATATTAACCGATTCTATTTTTCAGCTCCAACATCTTTCACAAAAGCTAAAACAAGAATTATGACCCTTCCCTGTGTTGGCAATATTCTTAAATCTTACAGTTTTGAAAAGAAATATCAAATTATATGTGATATCTTTCTTAATTTGCATCGCTGGCCATATGAATTGTCAAATTAAATTGTCAAATTATTTTGAGAAGCTTTTTATTCATCTTAAATATATATTTTTTAAATCAAATTGAAGCCATGCATTTTTCTATACCACCTAGATCAGAAAAAAAAAGAAACATGATTTGATATTGTGCAGTAAAAAGAGCAGAACTGGTTGCAAGAGCAAAGAGAAAAAGCAACATGTTCCTCCCTCTCTGCTGCACCCGGGACACTAAAGGTACACTTTGTTCCTGTCATTCTGGCAATTCTGGGCTGTGCATTGAAAAAGCCTTTAATTTAAGAAAATGAGGGTTAAACATTGTGCTTTTGAAGCTGTGATTCATCCCTGCTTAACATTACAGCTGCACAGATAATGGGGCCATCAACAAAAGGCTGCTTGTGAAATCTTTGAGTGAAATAGACGGACTTGAACTTGTGTTGAGGCAGATGTCTTTGTTACTTTGTTTTTAAATTCCACCTTCACAGCTTTGACTTGTAATGTATTTTATTGAAGAGACTAACACAGAGTAGCACATGATTGTGGAAAAAAAATCTGAAAATCTGTGTGGCAAAGTTTGCATATGTATTCAGGCCATTTTCTCTGACCTCCCTAAATAGTGCAACCCAAAGTGTTTTTACAGCTTGGTTTATTGGAAACCAAAATTGTCACATTTGTTACATTTTCAGCTGGTGTGATTTGCTTTCACACCGTCAAACAAACCCTTTGCAAAATGCATTTACCCCAACCCCTGTGGGGGCATTGCACCAGGAATCACTGAAGGAAACAACATGAAAACCTCTGCGGAAGACTTGAGCTCAACTTCCTTCATCACAAAATGTAAGCGAAAATGGAGTGTTGTCAGTGTAAAATGTCTCTTTTTTAAAACACCATGAGCCATTTGTCCTACTAGCGCTAAATTCTTGCATTTGTTTTGGTTGTTTACCCAGAAAGCCCTGCACTATATTCTGCTTCCTGCTTTTCCAGAAGTCTCTTGCATACTTGGCATTCACATATATATGTGCCAAGCTTACATATGTACCACACCAGAGTGAGACCTAGGATTTTAGGCAGGACCAGATGTCGCTTTTTGGTCCACATTAGAGTCCAATTATGCATTCAAACCTCCCCAAATGAGCTAGTTTGTAGGGAACAGAACCACAGTTTGATTCAAGTGGACCAATCAGGGCTGGTGTGAATGCACACTAACTTTGTAGGTTTGCATCAAACCAGTCCACAACTTTTTAAAATAAAACGTAATCATCCAAAATCTTCTTTGTTGTATAGTTGTTGCATCGACACAAAACAATATATTAATACTTTCAGCATTACAATTACTACAATATGTTTTTCAGGCCTTTTCACATTTTCTATTATTATTTGACTTATTTTTCTAGTATGTGAAGTGACATCGTATATGAAAGAAGAATGCTATATTCACTAAATGTGTTTAAAAAGATTTTTGAGGGGCAAACAAAATTGGATTTAATTTATCCTGGATAGACCACCGGAGACTAGAGGAAGTTTTCGATATTTCAACAAACATATTTCAAAACAGGTGAAAATCAGCAGGAGAAAACGACATAATATGAAAACTGGGCTTGTTGGATCTCACTCAAGAGCAGCGACACACAAACTACACCTGGCAACCAACATTTTTAGGCATTCATTATTTTTGAATAAGAACGACAAATCACTTTCAAACAACTACTTGCAATTGACTGTACTTGGTTCTTATTTTATTCAATCACTGGAACAAAACATAATTTGAATACATGATTAAAATTGTAGTTTGCAGACTAAAATCTTAATTTTCTTTTTCTTAATCTGATTGCAGTTAGACTTGATTTTTTTTTTCATGGATGCAACCCACATACTCAACTGTGCTGCCCAACCTACTAATGTATTTTCCTTACAAAATAATAAAAATAAATAAACAGACTTTTGAAAGACATACAAGATTATTACAACAAAGAAGTAATGAACCAAATATTATTCATTTAGGTATAGGTGGCACTTCATAAGACTGACTTCACTTTGACAAGAAATGTGGTGGCATTTTAATTTCATCCCAAATAATGTGTTGGCAATTATCCATCTTTTTCCATTTATAAAGAAACCCAAATTGTTTTCTCATTTTATGAGCAGGACAGAATATTAGTTTTGTGCCCTGTTATTTTGTGAGCGTATGAACTGTAGTGTTCTATTACAAAACACGCTGAATGATGTGGCTGGTCGACTCACCCTCCCCTTTTTCCCAAAGAGATTTCTGTCAACCTTGTTTAACATCACTGGATGCCTATTACACCTTTCAAATGGCTCAAGGCAAGGTGATTGTCTGAGCTGTAATCAAATATATGCTCACTTGACTGACAGGGTAAAAAATATATTATGTATAAAAAAAACAACTTACTCTAGGAAAATGCTTTCTGCTAAAAGAAAGCAGGAATATTGGGAAAAGGCAGATTTATTCAACACCAGAAGGAAATGTAGCCCCTGTATTGCTCTGGAAATGATTTTCTAATGCTAATGTGCCTGTTTCAGCAATATTTACTAGTTATAAGTGATGAAACTATGTACTTTTGTCCAGCTAAATGTCTCAAGCTTCAGTGTAACGCATTATCAGCATACAGCCATAAAATAAGGTCGAAGGAGCAGAATGTACACCTTGCCACACTTTTACAATGTGATCTAAAGTCAACGGGCCAGAATCCTCCACTATATCATATCTCCACCAGCAGCAGCCATTGCCTAAGATATGCTTAACTGCTGAACCAGACAACAGATTGCAAGTGCACCGGAGAGGATGTTCTCCGACCATTCAAGGTTCAAAATACAGCCTGCAATTTCAGGTTACAGTCGGGATTCATGCCTTTGGTGGGTGTGTCCCAGGAGACGGAGCGATGGTCCACTGATTAAAAGGTCAGTGGTTTGATCTCTGACTTCTCGCTGTGCATGAGGATGTGTCCTTGGGCAAGATACTGATGTGCTCAACACAGAGAGAGGGGGGGAGAGAGACAGAGAGCAAGACTGTGTGTGCATATGGGGGAAGGAGGAAGCACAGAAAAAAGGCGCTTGGACTACTCACAGGTCTTAAAGTAAGAAATTAGTGATACTGTATCTGATAAACTACCTTCGCCCATTAACATAACAATTACCCAACATCAATCAATAATTTATTGGTTGGCTTGTATCCGTTTAAAAACAGGTTCTATAGGATTCTTTGCATATCAGTATGCAGGTAATGGTTAGTTTTTGCCATAATTTATTAATATAATTTATGGGTACTTCTTATGTTATACAATGGTTAGAATTCAGTTAAATATCTCACTGCCACATCTTAATTATAAAATGTACATATTTTATTTGTCTGTGGCAGACAGTAGATATGCTGATGACATTGTCTGAAAACTATGCCCTTGAAAACTTGAACTTGTGTGTCTCTCCTTACACCAAATATGTATGAGTTATAGACCGAGTGTGCTGCACAGGAAGATGAATGGAGCCAAACACGAGACAATCCTGGAAGAAATGTATAAGAGGCTGCAAAAAAAAAAACGTGCAACCAAATCAGAGGCTCACCCTTCAGTAAGAAACCTTAAGTATAAAACCAGGGACACGAGAGTTTACAGCAAATCCTTTTCAAGTGTTTCAAAGAGTGGTCCAGTCAAAGTGCAAATCCAATTGAGAATCAGTTTTAAAACTTGGAAATGTGCAATCCCTTTTTACTGAGCTATTGAAAATTCAGTCTCAAAATTTATAACACAAGCTAAGATACTGACCACAGACCTAATGCTAAAAAATGGGAAACACTCCTAAAAAGTATTGACAGATGTGGGTCTGATTTTAAAGGCACCATATCATATACAATTGTGAAAAGCACTGAAAACCAT